TCCGGCCCCCCCCGCCCGCCGCCCCCCCCCCCATGGAGGATCGGCCGCCTTACCGCTGCCGCCACCACCGGAGCCTGGCGAGCGGGCAGTCGGCGCTGCCGGGCTCGCTGCTCTTCGCCGCCGGGCTGGTGGGCAACGTGCTGCAGCTGGGCCTCCTGTGGCACCACCAGCTGCGCGCCCGGCTGGAGCGCGGGGGCCGCCCGGCGCGGGCGTCGCCCTTCTACCTGCTGGTGAGCGCCCTGGCCGCCACCGACCTGCTGGGCAAGTGCCTGCTCAGCCCCATCGTCCTGGCCGCCTACGCGCGCAACCGCAGCCTCAGCCAGCTCTGGCCGTCCGGGGAAGAGGGGGACGCCGCCGTCGGAGGAGACGGAGACGCGCCGCCGGGCCGGCTGTGCCAGCTCTTCGCCTTCCTGATGGCCTTCTTCGGCCTGGCGCCCACCGCCCTGCTCCTGGCCATGGCGCTGGAGTGCTGGCTCTCGCTGGGCCGGCCCTACTTCTACGAGCGCCACGCCAGCCGCCGCCGGGGGGCCCTCCTGACCGGCGCGGCCGTGGCCCTGTGCGCCCTCGTGTGCGCCCTGCCGCTCCTCGGCTTCGGCGCCCTACCGCATGGCGCAACGCCAGCCGCCGCGCACCGGCGCGCAGGGGGCGGCGCGGCCGCCGAGGCTCTCGGCCGCCGCCCGCGTGGAGGAGCTGCGCCACCTGGTCCTCCTGGCGCTCATGACCGTCCTCTTCGTCGTCTGCTCCCTGCCGGTGATCGTAAGTACCGGGGGGCGGGGGGGGGGGCGCCGTCCTTTCTCCGGGCGCGCCGTCTAAATGCTCTTCTGGGCACACACCCGACCACCCAGCGCCTCCCGTGGCCACCCCAGGACCTTCATTCTCTCCCTTTGGTGCCGAACCGGTCCTCCTGGCTGCTCCCAAAGTGTAGGTTTGCTACTCTCCCAGCGGTGGCTGGAGATCTCCCGGTGCCGCCACTGATCTCCAGACGACACAAACGGCAGCTTTGGAACAATGCTCCCTCTAAGCTGTGGAGTCTTGTGAGCAAAAAATCTCCTTGGTGAGCTCCTGGCATTAAAGTTGTGAGCGAGCGATTTGGCTCCTGCATAAATTAGTTTGTTCTGGAGCCCTCCTTCCTGAGCTAAGACGAAAATGGGTGAGCCGGAGGCTAAAAAACTATGTGCTAGCTCACACTAACTCAGATTAGAGGGGACACTGCTTTGGAGGGTGGGCTCGACGGCGCCGCATCCCTGCCGGCCTCCTTCCCCACCCTGGGCTCCACCCCTCTACACCAGCGTTCCCTCTAAGCTGAGCTAGTGTGAGCCAGCTCGCAGTTTCTTAGCCTCCGGCTCACAGATTTTTTTGTCTTCGCTCAGGAAGGAGGGCTCCAGAGCGAACTAACTGACGCAGCAGCCAAATCGTGTGCTCACAACTTCATTGCCCGGAGCTCACAAAGTAGAATTTTTGCTCACAAGACTCCACAGCTTAGAGGGAGCATTGCCCCCCCCCCCCCGATCGCCAGGAATTTCTCAAACTGGAGCTGGCCACCCCAGTTAGAAGAGATGCGGACTCTGTGCCTAGTGCCTTCTGGCTTGTAAATGCAGCAGCACGCCCGTGGTGCACTCCCAGCTCTTTCTGGTTCGGGAGGCAACGTCCTTTTGTGAGCTGACTCCGCTCTGGTTTCCTCCTGGTGTCTTCATAACTGCCTCTCTCTGCTGCAGCTTCCCCTTAACCCTGAAGAGATAAAAAGGTGGGCCAGAAAACTGGCAGGGTGCCAGGGGGGCTGGGAGGGTTCAGTAGTCCAGGTGCCAAAAAGGAGAATGGGGCGCAGGTGTTCCCTCTAAGCTGAGTTAGTGTGAGCCAGCTCGCAGTTTTTTAGCCTCCGGCTCACACATTTTTGTCTCCACTCAGGAAGGGAGGGCTCCAGTGCAAACTAATTTATGCAGCAGCCAAATCGTCTGCTCACAACTTTAATGCCGGTAGCTCACAAAAGTAGAATTTTTGCTCACAGGACTCCACAGCTTAGAGGGAACATTGGTGTGGGCCAGATGTTCCCCAGGTGCAGGATTCGGATCAAAGGGGGCCTCATCTAGAAGGTTCACACACACACACGTGCACACCTCTACAAATGAGAGCCGGTTTGGTGTCGTGGTAAAGAGCAAGCGGACTCTGATCTGGGAGAACCGGGTTGGATTCCCCCACTCCTCCTCCACATGCAGCCGGTGGGTGACCTTGGGTCAGTCACAGTTCTTTCAGAGCTGTACTCTCGAGCAGTCCTTGAAAGAGCTCTTTCAGCCGCACCTATTGTGGGGTGGGGGAGGGAAAGGAGACTGTAAGCCACTCTAAGACTCTGAGTGAAGGGCAGGGTATGAATCCAGTCTGTGCTTCTTTTCTGCCACCGAGTGGATTCTAATCTGGCGAACCAGGTTTGGTTCCCCTCCTCCACACAGGCAGCTGCGGGTGTGACCTTGGGTCAGTCACGAGTTCTCCCAGAGCTGTTCTCTCAAGGGCAGTCCTCAAGAGAGCTCTCTCAGCCCTGCCTCCCTCACAGGCTGTCTGATGTGGGGAGGGGAAGGGAAAGGAGGCTCCTTCGGAAACGGATGTATTACCCAGTAGAGAAGTTAATTATAAAAATGTATGAATTAATGGAAATGGATAAATTAAATATGATACTATCAGGGAAAGAAGAACATGTGCTTCAAAAAAGATGGCATAAAGTTAACAAATGAATTGGGGAAAATGCTTAGTTTAGGGCTTTGCTTTTCCCTTTGCGGCTCCAGATTGCAAGAGCCTTGTAGGGTTTTAGGTAAAGATTCCCTTGCTCGACAGCTAGTCGAATCTGACTCTAGGGTTGCGGTGCTCATCTCCGTTTCAAAGCCAAAGAGCCAGCGCTGTCCGAAGACGGCATGGTCATGGTCATGACCATGGTTTCCGTGGTCATGTGGCCGGCATGACTAAACACCAACGCTGTTACCTTCCCACCAAAGTGGTGCCTATTTATTTACTTGCAATTTCTTGCTTTCGAACGGCTTGGTTGGCAGGAGCTGGAACAAGAGACGGGAGCTCACTCCGTCATGCGGCAACCCGGGTCTCGAACTGCTGAACTACCGACCTTCCACAGCCTGCAGTTCAGCGTCTTAACCACTTGAGCCACCGCAGCTCATGTAGTGAAAACTGATAAATAAAACTTATATATATATAAAAAACCGCTCTGACTGCCAGGGCGCATTTTGCTTTTCCCTTTGCGGCTCCAGATTGCAGGAGCCTTGTGGTGTTTTGAAGCGTTTAGCATTGCATTGCGGCGTGAACTTTCGCTCCCCAGTTCCCACTTCCTTGGATGCCCTGAAACAACGGAAAGTGCAATGAATAAACGGAAGTTAGAAAGTGACATTTGCAACGTAGGGCTTTGTTTTATAGGGGAGGCGCCGCGGCTCAGTGGCAGAGCCTCTGCTTGGCATGCAGAAGGTCCCAGGTTCAATTCCCGGCAGTCAAAAGGGACCAGGCAGGAGGTGCTGTGAAAGACCTCTGGCCTGAGACCCTGGAGAGCCGTTGCCACTCAGAGTAGACAACACGGACCTGGACGAACCAGGGGTCTGATTTCACTATAAGGAAGCTGCACGGGTCCGTTTTTTTAAAAATGCGGCCGAATTTCGAATCGGTGCCAAACTCAGCTATTTTACCTGCAGGAAAGAGGCCGAACCTGGTTCTTCTCCACGCGTATCAGTACTGCCTTTCTTCTGCACCGGGAGGAATGTTTCAGTCTTACCCATAGTTCCTTGCAGCAGGAACGAAGGATGCATCACCATTGCCGATTTTACCCCCTGAGAACAGAGTGATTTACCTTTGAATCCTGGAGCCCTTCCAGCTCGCCCACACGGGGTGCCATCTTGGCTCCCTGACGGAGTTTTCTGCATCTTACTTGCCCCCCCCCCCCCGCCTTTCTGCCAGAAATGACAAGTCTGCTCCCCATCCGAAGACAACCATCTGTGGCTTCTTACCGGGGTCTTAAGGCTGCAGGCCTCAGCTCAAGCGCGGGACTAGGGTGGGTTGCAGAGTGTCAGGCAGAGGGAGGGGGGATGCTTGATAAACACAATACCGGCAATTCTTCCTTTCTTCCGCTGCCGCACGTCTCAAGAATCAGAAATGACACAGAGCCTTTGCAACCTGCCGAGTCCTTAGAATTCAAGAGCGGTTGTTAACAGATTAGTTCTTAGAAGACGCTGAATGCCCGTTGGGAACGATGAATTATGGCAGGGTTGTGTAAGTGCTTTGCTTTCATACTCGGGTGCAAACTGTTGGAAAGCTGCTTCGCATTCCTAGCTTCAGTTTTTTTGTTAGTTGTGGGTTTTTTTTAGAGATGTCAGCAACTGCATCGTTCGACGACTCTTATCCTCTGCAGGAAACGGGACAAGTATTTCCAGATCCAGATGAGTCAGTGGAAGGGAATTTATCGAGGACACTGATTGATTCTTGGGAATTAGTGGTTACTAATGCCCCAATACCCGTGGGCGATTTTCCATCTGTATCTGGTTATCTGTCTCTCCCAGTTGCTTTCAGCGCAACTCTCACTTTATTTTCTAAAAAGTTCTTCAACAGGGTCTCCTTGGAAGGCATTTGTCATCCTTTCATCCCTTCTGTATAGTTTATCATTGTATTGTTCCCATCTTTTTAAAAAATTGTCCCGTTGAGTTGGTGTGTTTCCATGTTGATCTTTCAGCATACTTTAAATTCCCCTTTCAGTTCTTGGGTCTTGTGAAACAGATCTCTCGTTATGTTGGCGAAGGCGTTCATGGCCAGAGTTCATTAGTTGTTGTAGATTTCCCAGTCTGTATGGCCGTGGTCTTGGCATTGTAGGACCTGACGTTTCGCCAGCAGCTGTGACTTGCATCCTCAGTGGTATAACGCAGAAAGATGGAGTCCTCTCTGTGTCGAGAAGAAAAATGGTAGGCAGGTAATATATATCTACTCAGGAAGGTGGGGTAGGACTGAGTCATTATCTTGTAGGAGTTCCCCAGGCTGTGAACACTCTCTTTGTCAGGGTGAGAAGAAAACAGTAGGCAGGTAATTTATATCTACTCAGGAAGGTGGGGTAGGGCTGAGTCATTATCTTGTAGGAGCTCCCCAGGCTGTGAACACTTTCTGTGTCAGGGTGAGAAGAAAATGGTAGGCAGGTAATTTATATCTACTCAGGAAGGTGGGGTAGGGCTGAGTCATTATCTTGTAGGAGTTCCCCAGGCTGTGAACACTCTCTGTGTCAGGGTGAGAAGAAAATGGTAGGCAGGTAATTTATATCTACTCAGGAAGGTGGGGTAGGGCTGAGTCATTATCTTGTAGGAGTTCCCCAGACTGTGAACACTTTCTGTGTCAGGGTGAGAAGAAAATGGTAGGCAGGTAATTTATATCTACTCAGGAAGGTGGGGTAGGGCTGAGTCATTATCTTGTAGGAGTTCCCCAGGCTGTGAACATGCTAATGGAGGAGCTTTCCTGAGGAGATTCTTTTGCATATGGATTGGCTGTAGTGCATGGTTTTCTGTCCTGAAAAACACAAAAGGCTCTACATCTTACAATAGCAAAAAGAACCTATTTTTCTACAAAATGACCCCTGCTCCAGAGCAAACTAATTGATGCAGGAGCCCAATCGCTCACTCACAACTTTAATGCCAGCAGCTCACAAAGGAGAATTTTTGCTCAGAAGACTCCACAGCTTAGAGGGAGCCTTGGTCTCAAGATCCATTATCCAGTGCACAAGAGGTAAAAGGTAA